CTGGGATTCATAATTTAAGTCTTTTTGATCCTACTGCAAAGTGCCTCAAATATGATGGGTTTTACTCTAATCTGATATAAAAGCATGACAGAAGCTTCTCCTACTTGCACTAGCTCTCATACCTTATCCAGCAGAGGCACTGTACTTGGTCCACAATGACTCTTACTAACCCACAAAAAAGTAAAATTTAATTTTAGAGCGATCTGTTAGTAACAATAAAACTAGTGTCCTGCAACCCTAATCCACCACTGAGGGGATGCACCAAAGGATACCGCCACAAAGGTGCTGTTGCCTCAGAAAATAGTAGGGATGTAGTCCTGGATAATACCATTCTGGGGAACAATATAACCTTGCCATTGAAAGGGGTACCCCAAAGCTGAGGCACAGGCAATAACCCATCTTCATGATCCAAGCATCTGGTAGCTGGTTAACAATGCTGTGCCTGAAGATACATACAGGTGCATCTACACATGCAATTAGAACATGTGAATAAACTCCAGTGCAGTTCACACTATTGCTTATTGATCTTGGGTGCAGTGTTTACACATGCACCCAGGACTGCAGCATGTTGAGCCAGTGTGGTGCAGCCTTGGCTGGCAGGTACTGGGGGGTCAGTCTGCCAGTCTGGAGCTGCTTCACCTTGGCTCAACATGCTGCCAAAGGGTTGGCTGACGCATGTGCCCCAGCCAGCCCTGGTCACTGTCTACATTTATGTTGCAGCACACTAAATAACTCTCTTGTAGGATAGTACTTGTGTTGGGCTGTACTATCCTTCAGAGGAGTTAATTAGTTTACTGCAGCCTAATAGTGCTGTATGTGTAGATGGTGACACTTTACTGCAGAACTAATTAGCCATTTCCTCAGTAAAGTACCCATTTAGATGCACCCACATTAGATATATATCATGTGGGCCAGAGGGAGAGGAATTCAAATGTTATACATTATAAATAACCAATGGTTTTAGCTGAAATGCACCTTGAGAAGTAGAGAGAAGATAACACACCCAAGTTACACATGCATTAATAATTTCTTGTTTTTCAGGAACTTTATCTTAGAACTGAATATTATATTATTTCCCATAGCATTACTGTCCAGTAAATGAGATCCAATAGCACTTTTGCATCAGAACCAGGAAAAAAAAACCACTGAGAGATTATCTCTAATGATCAGGATTATTTCAATTTCTCAAGGCTCAGCCAACATTAGCTTCGCATTAATTCCCTCCTTTGAAAATTACCTCACCCTTCTCCTTCCCAGAATAAGTAAACCTCAAACTGAAAATGACTGAGATGTAACTGGATGTTATATAAAAATATTCCAAATGCCTAAATTGTAGGTATTTTATTTTCTATATTTTGTCCCCATCTTCTTGCCATTTTATATGCAGTAGCAAAAATATATATAACTTTGGAGTACTCCAGTCCCAATGGACCACTTTCATTTAATTCCATCTTGATTGAAGGTTGTGTTTCAAGAAAAGCCAATACTTCTTTCTCTTTGCTCTTTTAATGACCAGTGGTCTACACTTATACAATTTAAAGTTCAAATAAATTATTAGTCTGATGTATAATCCCCAGAAGCCCATAAAATTCAGGGAGAAAAGCTGAAATGCTGATCTCAGTTCATCCCCGTGTGCCTATGCATTGCATCATATACGGTAACACACAAGATACTCTGCTCTTTGGCCAAATTTGCAATCTCTTAGTCACAATGCATCACAGCAAATTAAGGACAGAAGTACTTATATGTATAAAGATAAGGCAGCACATACGGGTACTGCAAATGCAATGCTTTCTCAACATTCATGAGCATACATGGCACATCTAATCTTCCCGCATATTACTCCACTCTATCATTAATAAACTAATGCAGCCAGAGTGAACTAGATTACTTTCCCATATTTCAACTATCTGCACTCCACTCCACTATCTCCACTGAAATATGGTCACTAATTTAATATTCCTGAAGACTCAGGCTGTTGAGATTGGCAGGGGTAGGACCACATCATGAAACATGGACCCAGTGCTGACTCTCCTGAACATTTTGGTTAAGGCTTATGTCAACAGCCACTAAAAGCAATGCTAATGTGTGCTCTATCTGTAGTATGTAGTACTAGCAATCAAAACTCAATTTTTGGTTTTAAAAATCAAGACTGTTATTGCCCACTAAGAGCTTCTGAAACTGGCAAATTTCTATTCAATCTTTTAAAAATATATATATATTTATAAAGCCTACAAATACCCAGGAGATGGTATGCCTGCATGCACAGAGAAACCTTACTGAAATACAAAGAAACATCTTGTTTTGGGGTACAATTCTGTGCACCCAATATGAGCTAAGAGCATACAGCTAATGCTGATTTTATGAAGCCTTGAATTTCCCAATGGAAACACAGCAGATCTTTAACTAAGACAGCAGCGGAAGATGTAGTTTTAATATTTCCCAAGCAAGATTTATTATCCCTTTTAGAAAAATCAGCAACTCCAAAGCGGAGAACAGAATATTTTGTTATTTTGCCTTAGGGAACTAACTACAGTAACTAACATAAAAAGGAATTTTATTCAGAGGGTTGTTACAGGCTGTAATTGGCTGTAACTGGCCCAGAGGTAGATGACGTGGAAATAACTAGTGGAGGCCACAGAAAAGAGGGATTGATTCTGGACATTCTCTGGCCATCCCACCCTTCCTAGCCAGTGAATATGTGAGGTGAACTCGATTCACTGTATCTAGCACTGTTTTCTGCATAAGCAAAGCTTCTCAGGAATATGCCCTTTGAACAGAAAGCATCAACAGACCTTATGTCATGTTGAGCATGATGGAGCCAGCACACATTAATGTAAGGAAGTCTGCACAGCTATGAAGCCTCCAAGTTCACTTTCTGAGCAAAAAGTAGAAATGAAATGGCACTCTCAGAGTGACTTACTGGTGTCTAGGGAAAAACAATGAGGCACAATGTACTCTGAATATATCTCTTGAGTGACATAGTTCGAAGCTAAGTGGCTTGTGGCAGACTCTTACTCTACTGGCAAATTGCCTTCAGCTGATCAGAAAATTTATCCTTTCTTTCACCCCAAGTGTGTTATGTGTAACTTGGAAGAGAAACACCAGAGGTTGCTTGGGTTTAATAAAGGTTGGCAGCTGCTGAGAAGACCATGGCTTGACCCTGGCACCAAAAAGTAACATGAAGACCATGAATATCTCTGGAATAACTCCCTGTTCTTCTGCTTTTTTCATCAATGCATGTAACAGAGCCTTTTCTTACTTATAAGATTTAGTGTGAGAACCATATAAAGACAGCCTGCTTTTGATTTTCTGGTGACTCTGGCCTTGAACAGTAGTGACAGAAAAGGGTCTCTGGGTTGTGATTCCTCATTATTAGTGTACCACATATGGGTAGTTGTCCTCTGTGCCTGCCCATTCCTTAACTGTCATATATAGGTCCCTCTTACCCTATATCACCCTTGGATTATAGTTTTGAGTGAAAACTACATTAAATAAGTTCATGTGGTATGTAACCATAAGCCAACCAAAACTGACTCATGTCAGCTGTTTTTTGTGTCAACTCTTGGTTGAATAGGGCCAGCATATGAAGAGTGAAATCAGGAAGTGAAAACTTAGGGAAAGGGGGTGGAGGAGAAGAGGAGGTCCATGCAAGTATTTGTTCACTGAGAGTACTCTGTTCCTCATTCCTTAAGTCTTTATCTACACAGGCAACAATAAGGCTGAAGATAAGGTAAAGCACCATTCTTCTTTCCATGCTCTCTGTTGTATATTATGATCTCTTTAAATTAGGAAACACCACAAGTAGCAAATCGAAGTTTCTGATCAAATCAACTGTGATCTTCTGGATTGTCAAGACATGCCCAGTGACCTCTTATTTTGCAGGATCAATGTGTATGTTACCATGCAGCAGATCACCCCCTGTACAGGAGGCACTGGATCTGAGAGCTTGTTTTCCAATTTAGCAAACCCATGGAACCAGGCTGATAAATTCAGCTTTCTTTACACTGGATCAGGCTCAACCCAAGTCTTTATTCCTGGAGATAAAGTGCTGAATGTTCAAATATTGCCCAGTGTTTTATGATTTAGTTGTTGTAACCCCTATTTTAAGGTCTGGATAGACAAAAAAAGAGAGAGAAAGCAAGAATTCTTGGTCAAACATGTACCTGTTGGGTAGTGCTCATTCACTGGCCAGCTGTCCACCTGAAGTGTAGCATTGCCACCATTCCTGGTGAAGCGCACCACATGATATTTGCCATCATTCACAGGGGTGCTCTCCTCTTTGATAGAAATATCCACAGTGCCAATATTGAAGACGACACCAATCTTGCCTTGCTCCTGTAATGAAAAGAATACCAAAAACAACAATTTATAAGTTATCACTTCTTAGGAGAATATCCAACATATATATATTTCTAAACAATTAGATCATGGATAAAGTACCAGTAGATGGCACTCAAGAATATGTATTAGCATCATTCTGGGGTTTTATAGAACCAGGACAACTTGTGGTTGTTCAATGCAAATATCTTCATCTGTGCCACTCTTTAATATCAGCTCATAATACCATCAACCTGAGGACCATGATTTATGTCTTCCTTCAAAATGGCTCCAGGAACAATTGAGAACTGAGGGTAGAAAACCAAGGAGAAGTATGAATGGTTATATGGGAAAGAACCCCACTGACTGGAAATAAATTGCTTAATCACTACTGAAATGTAACCATGACACTGGACCAATGATACAGAACAGATTTATTTGAAAAAAGTCAAAAAGGAGAATTTTAGGGAACAAAAGTGTAAGTATCCAAATTGGAATTTGGCCAGTGCACTGAAGCTAATCCTCCTAGACTCCTGAAATGCTATGGGAATGGAGGAAATGGATTAGCTAGGGCAGAGACATATAAATAAAATATCGGGACTTCCATAGGTTCACATCTGGCCCCTGTTACCAGTTCCCACAGGAATTTCAGTACAACTGCTAAGTATTCACATTATAAAATGATCAGCAGCAGAACTGTCACTGATCAGTCTTTTCAGTGGCTGACTCAGAAGCAGTACTCCAGGTCAGAATGACCACAGAAGGTAGACTTCCCTTGTATACCTTGATAGGGCCTATCCAAAACAAGTCTCAGACACATTGATGGGTGGAGTTGGCTCTCTTGCTGACTGTACTAGAGTTGATGCTTGGACAAAGAGTGTTTCAAGTTTTCAGGGCTGCCTACAGCCATTGCTGAAGTTATTTCTCAAACTCTCAGCAACTGCAAAGCCTCTTTCTTTGATGCTGCTAAGCTCTTTTGTCTCAGACCCTTTTGCGCAGTCCTTCTCCATGACTCTGCCTGCCCCTGAAATCTTCCACAGCCCCTGTGCCCAATTTCCCCTCTGATCCAACATCATCCACAATGGCTTTCCCTGATTCCCCTCAAACATCTACACCCCACAAAGCTCTCTGTCTTTCCCCCACATCTTATATCTCTCATAGACTCCTTTACATAAGTTCTCCAAAATTATGACAGTGCAGCACCAGTCAATATGGTGGAGAGGCAGAACAGAACAAAAAACAAAGCAAACAAAAAATCCACAACTCTCTGGAGCTGAAGTCAATCATTATGGAAACTGGTAAGCTTTAGCACTGTGACAGATTAAGTGTCCTGATTTTATCCCTCCCTCCTTATAATGGTAAAGTATAGATATTAAAAGAATGATCTCAACACATACAGCCTGGTTTTACCTCTCATGAGAATGTCTTTTATCTCCTTCCCCCAAAATGCTAGATAGATAAACTGCTACTCCCTTAAGACAGAAATGGATGCAGACACAGACATGCACACCCACACGTACATGCATATATCAAAGTCTTATTTGGGGATAATCAGCCTATCCCTCCTTGCCCAGAAAAACACTTGGATCTTTTATTATACTGTCAGAAGCCAGGGGAGGGTGGCACTTCAGAGACCAACTAGGTCAGAGAGGCATAAGACAAAGTAGGTTGAGGCCTATGAAATCAGATGCTACTTCAAGCTGCAAGCAGGTAAGCTAAGGAAATATGGGTTGGCTGAATGGACTGTAAGGTGGATAGAAAGCTGCCTGGATCGTCGGGCTCAGTGGATAGTAATCAATGGTTGAGGTCTAGTTGGCAGCTGGTCTCAAGTGTAGTGCCCCAGGGGATGGTCTTGGGTCTGGTATGGTTCAATATCTTCATCAACAACCTGGAAGATGGGATGTAGTCCCTTAGCAAGTTCGCAGATGACACCAAGCTGCGGGGAGTACTAGATATGCTGGAGGGTAGGCTAGGATTCAGAGAGACCTCAACAAATTGGAGGACTGGACCAAAAGAAATCTTATGAGGTTCAAAAAGGACAAGTGAGAAGTCCTGCACGTAGGAAGAAAAAATCCCATGCACCTCTATGGGCTTGGGGCCAACTGACTGAGCAGCAGCTCTGCAGAAAAGGATCTGGTGGTTACAGTGGATAATAAACTGGATATAAGTCAACAGTGTGCCCTTGTCGTGAAGAAGGCTAACAGCATACTGGGCTGCATTAGTAGGAGCACTGCCAGCAAATTAAGGGAAGTAATTATTCCCCTCTATTCTGCACTGGTGAGGCCACGTCCAGTTTTAGCCCCCCCTTCCCCACCCCCAGTACAGGAAGGATGTGGACAAGTTGGAGAGAATCCAAAGGAAGGCAACAAAAATGGTTAGGGGGCTGGGGCACATGATTTATGACAGGCTGAGGGAAATGGGAAGAAGAGAAGACAGGGGAGATTTGATAGCAGTCTTTAACTACCCGAAGAGGGGTTCAGAAGAGGATGGAGCTGGACTGTTCTTAGTGGTGGCAGATGACAGAACAAGGAGCAATGGTTTCAAGTTGCAAGAAGGGAAATTTAGGTTGGATATTAGGAAAAACTTTCTCACTAAGTAGTGAAGCACTGGAACGGGTTACCTAGAGAGGTTGTGGAATCTCCAGCTTTGGAGGTTTTTAAGGCCTGGCTCGATAATGTCCTGGCTGGAATGAACATGTATTAAAGTGTTCTGATATTAGTCACACTTTGACCAGAGAGTTGGACTAGATGACCGGAGGTCTCTTCCAACCTTAATTTTCTATGATTCAATACAGCATCTGATGAAGCAGACTATCACCGGTGAAAGCTTATGACTCTACAAACTGGTTAGTCTCTAAAGTGCTATCCTGCCCTGCCTTCTGCCTGACTTCAGATTAATATGGCTAACTACTTTTCTCTCTTTATATTGAGTGGGGACATCTTTGCTCTTCAGTCTATTGAAATTCTTAGTGCTGGTCACAGAGGGCACCTTCTTTATGCACAGGATCGTTTATTCACCAGTAAAAGACTGACCAATAAAGCGCTGACAGATCATTTATTTGCCTTTTTCTCTGGTAATCAGACCTGGTTTCAAGAGAGATAACCACGTTCAGAGACTAGATAATCAATGCTTGCTGTCTGATTCCATCTGAATGCTTTTGAAGAATGCTGCTTATAGAATCTTATCCCTTTTAGGGAGGATCTCACAGTTAACCTTTTATATTTCTCCACTGTCCTCAAGAAATAAACCTCCTTTCATTTCAGAAAGGTTGGTGATAGCTTCCAACAGAACACACCCAAGAGCAGGCAGAAGAGGTCACTTTAGAATGAGGTCAGGTGCTATCCCTTCCCCCATCCAAAAGAAATACAGCCCTCCTCAAAGTGTTCTGATTCTTCAGTGTCTGGTCCTCACTGTGACTCAGAAGTCTAGAATTGTATACAAATAATAATGGGCCAGATCAATTGGTCTTTATGCAAGCAAAGCTCTCATTACCTCTTTAAGGAGAGCTTTGCTTGAGTAAGCTTTGTGTAAACACTGAAGACCAGAGGTTGAAACCCATACATCAATACTTTAATAGTCCTATTAGAATTAGCAGTGCTAATCCTAGTAGCAGGGTAAGGTACTACTCCATAAGAACTCTAAATACTGACCTAATATTCCAGCCTATTATTTCTAAAATTAGTACTTCGTGCCTACACGGCAACTGTTATCCATAATATTAAAGCACTTTACAAAAATGAACTACTATACTGTAGATAAAAAAGTCTCAGGTCTAGAGACATAAATAAGTAACACAGGGTGCATCTACATGTGCATTAATGTGTTTTTCCTAATGCACATTAAATTTAGTACCTCCAATTCGAGTTGCCCTAATGCGCCGTTGCCCTAATGCACAGTAGTGAAAGTGTGTGCTTTTTTAGTGATGCTTAATGCACAGTAGCCTATTTTACAGTGCATTAGAGTATTTGCACAGTTTTTTAAACAACACGTTAATGCACAGTAACATAGACTACTGCACATTAAAGCACATGCGTAGATATGCCCATAAAGAACAAGACCATGACTAGAACTCAGAGCCTTTCTCTCCCGTTCTAATGCATATTGTTCTATATTACTGTGCCTCATTATAATGTAAAAGAAAAAGAGAGACTCACCCAAAGACCACATGTGCCAGGGTGGAGAATAGAACCCTGATCTTCAGACACTTAAGCTGAGCCTTGAAGAAAATTATCCTTCCTCTTGGCTTTGAAAGACAGCCTGTACCGCTAAAACAAACATCCAGCTCTTGATGGGCTCAGCCTCCTTTATTCCTTTCCCTGTACATTAAGTTATTAAATTTTCTTTCACAAGTTAAAAAGCAGTGAGCTGAAATAGACCGGCAAAGCTCTGACAGCCAAGGGATGATTTACCTCGCTGCCAATATTTCTAACATTTGTTTTGTATTGAACAAAACAAAACAAAACAAAACAAAACAAAACAAAAGCTGAATCCACGGCAGCCCAGAGCATACAAGGCACACACTCTCAGAGGGCCCAGAAGCATTTTTAATAGGCAGCCTACATCTTCTTTCCTTCATATCAGTATTCACCTAGATACCCCAGCCACCTCTGCATGCCAAGGTGAGCTTCCATTCATTGATTTACCTCTATTATTTTCTTTGAAAACTTTGAGTGACATCAAGTGCTGGCAACTAAGAACAACAATTTTATTTTGAAATAACTCAGAGTCCCATCTGCATTTCTCTATTTTTTTTGCCTGATACCATTCTATTAAGTGCCTTGCCCTTTCCTTGTTCATTGCCCTCTTCCCCGCCCCCCGCCCCCCCTCCAAAAAAAACCCACAAACCAACTTCTGTCATGAGAACTACAAGAAATCAGGCATGAAGAAAGAAAAGAAGATAAATTATATGTATATCAGTAAATTATATGTGGTTCAAAAATGAAAAGCAGGTAAATTACATGCAGAAAAGAAAGCAAATGATACTATGAAAATATACTAGCCATCACTCTGAACACTCT